CCAAAAAAAAAAAAAAAAAGTAAATAATGTATCTTTCAAATTTTAATGAGAATTATTTCACTAGAATACTGCCGAAAATGAGCTCCTCTGAATGTTAAGTTAAAGCTACAAATTGGCAAATTTTCTTTGAAAGTAAATGATGCTTCGGTCCCGAGACAGAAGGACATCGTACAATAGGAGGAAAATTTATTTTAATTTACATGAAAATCGTCAAGAATCAATATAGGCCCAAGAACTTCCACCAGAAACCCCAACAACGCCCCAGATTATAGCATTAATAAGCGCCATGACAAAGCCCACTCTAAACACGTCAGGAAGGTCTATGTAACCAGCTGTTCAAACATGGCAAAGAAAACTATCAGTCCTCAAAACTGCAACATCTACTAGGATACAAAATTAATAATAATTACTTGCGTGCAATCTTAACTATTGAGGATGCTATTAGTTAGTTATCGATTCCAAATCTTAAATCTCTTTCTCTTCAATCTTCTCAATAATCAAGAGCAAAAAAAAAAAAAATATGAACACAAACATATACTATAAAAGGAACTAACATAGTTAAGGTGAACAGATTTCAGAATCCTAGAAATAGGTGAATATATGTGTACTAGGCCATGGAGGGCCATGGTTTGATACTCGCCCCCTAATGGACTTTCAAGATAGCATAGAGTTTGAGTTAGAAGATACTTGCCCCTAATGGACTTTCAAGATAGTATAGAGTTTGAGTTAGAAGTGGATAGAGAGAGTTTGAATTGAGAGTAGTAAAATCACAAGAAGGTAGAGTTTGAGTTGAAAGTAAGAGTACACAAAAGAAAAACACTTTAATAGAATTCACAAGTTTAGAATTGCTTTGTTAGTTTGGCCAAATGATGCCTCACATATGGTGTGGAAACAATCTAGATTCTTCCATAATAAGCAAATGATTGCCTCCCATATTTATAGACGTTCAAGGCTTTAATTAATAGTCTAGACATTTACAAATATCAATGATCTAGTAGTATGAAAGCTATCTAGATTCTTCCACCACCTTATGATGGAAAATTTTTACAATTATCTACCGAATTATAGACATTTCTACAAAATTTTACACCAATCTAGAATCAAATTTGTAGTTATTTGATAAAATTTCCAAGTTGTGACATTATTCCCTACCTAAATTCTTCGTGGCCATTGATGGACACCAATAAAATGAAAAAACCCATGACTACTGACCGCACAGATGCATCTTCATGTTTGAAATCACCCCCAATTGAATGTATCGTCACCATCAAAGTTGTAATTTAAACAAATTAAACCAATGAATTGGTGTTGGGTTTTGGTGAATGATGGATAGTGTCGTAATTTAAACAAACGAAGAGGAAAGGAGCATGCGAGTGAAGGATTGGGATGGAATATTTTATAGTGGTGGGATGGAATATTTTATTGTGGTGGGCCTATTGTTTTTCTTATATGTTGATGGTCGATTGGCTGTCCGTAAACTTAGTGTTTTATTGGAAAATAGTGTATAATTTAGTCATTAAGCAAAAGTCTTTTAAAAAATAATGAACAATTTAGAAAGAAAATTTTGATTTTTCTTCCTTGACACCTATTAATGACTTCATACTTTTCTGGGACTTCTTTTGAATGATGAATGAAGATGCAAATAACATGCCCAATGACTGAGGAAGGGGTATATTTTAGAATATTTAATTTTTATTTTTATGTTTGGATTTTAAATTTGTCGACAGAAATGGCAAGGACAAGACAAGAAAAGAAAAGATAATTCTAAAAGTGGGAGAATAACAAATGCCTTCAAATAATAAGTTTAAGAAAACTTCACAACAATCTTAACATATTTTTCCTTGTATTTTAATTATAATTCTTTTAGTACATTATAAATATGTGCAAGAAAGATCCTCGAAACAAATATAAAAATAAAAGGCCCACATGTAATAGAAGTCGGTTTGGACCAAGCCCTTCCAAAAGTGCATATTTTTTCCTACGAGCCCACAGGACAGCCCAGCCCAGCCCAACCCATTACATAGTAGACAATAACAACTGCTTTGTATTGTAAAAGTAACTCCAAGAAAGGTCACTTAAGGAGAATTCTACGATACACCTCCCTATCATGTGCACCTTTAGTTACACAATTTTCTTCTTTAATTGTGATCAATTTTCTTCTTTAATTATGACATTATTTTATGCCTCATGTAGTGTTTGGTTATGACTTTTTTAAGTTAGGACTCAAAAAGTATGAAATTATACTATTTTCTTCTGTAGTTATAAAATGCATATGGCACACGTGCAAGGCATGGGCTACTTGCACCAAATTATTTTTTTTTAAAATTTTGATCGTACTTTCTTATTTTATGTTGTGCTTGGTTCATAAATTTAGGGAGTGATTTGAAAAGAGAAAGGAAAAAGTAGATAAATTACGAATAAAATATATCTACATTTTACCTAATTTCACACATTTTTCCTTTTTCTTTCCAAATCCTTGAACCAGACATAGTGTTTGTTTTAGAAAAAATATAATTGAATGCTTATCTTGTAAATGTTGAAAATAAATAATTTCATTTTATTTTTCTAAATTTAATGACATTTGGCCTTTATTTTAATTAAGAGGACTGCTATTTGCCCCCACCTTCTTACTTTGGCTCCTCCACTTCTTTAAACCCCCACCTAACATTTTTTTCTTTGAACCTCCCACCTTAATACCAACTCTATCCCTAACCCCAAATCCAAATCCAAATCCAAATTCAAATCCTAACCCTAACCCTACCAACTCCGGCAACAAAAATAGCTCTGACAACCCAAACCTTAACCCCAAATCCATTTTTTTACCTTCAACATCAAGAGCTATTTCTGTTGTTGTTTTGCCAAAACCTGATTCAAGTCCCACTTGCTTTTCCATCATCGAAACACCCACCTTAATCTTCGCTCTCTTCTTCGATCCACCGCTCGATTTTTCTTCTTCATTGAATTTTCTCGTGATTTTTTTCAGCTTCGCTTTCTTCAACTAATTGCAATGGTTCTCGCAATACGACCTTCCTGGCAAAGCCTTCTCACTACACTACCAGCTTTGGCTGCCTTGTCTTCGGCACCGGTGATCTGACGAGACATCCATCACAACTGATCACCAAAAATCCAACAGCTGAGATCGTTTTCACAACGATCATTCAAGATCTCTCTCTCTCTCTCACTCAATCTCTCTCTTTAATTCAGATTTGCAAAAGACGAAGAGGAAGAGGAGCTGGGGGTTGAAAGATAGGCTGCGATAGTGGAGTAGGGTTTGGGGTTGCTTGTTAGCGAAAATGGTGGTTGCGACGGTGAGGGGTGGTCAGAGATGGTGGTGACTACCGGAGGTGATTAGGGTTAGGGTTTGGAAAACTAGGGTTAGAAGATTAGGAATGAGGGTAAAAGTGGAATAGTAGGTTGGGATAAAACTAGAATTAAAAAAAATGGAAGAGGTGGGAGTTCTAAGAAGAAAGGTAGGGGTTAATAGCATTGCTCTTAATTAATTAAGTATTATTTGAGATATATATATATCCCAAAATAAGATTTTTCTTCTCGGAATTGAATAGAGTAGAAGATTAAACAAATCGAACCGTTCATATTGTAGGTTAGTTAAGCATATCATCCATTGAAAAAATCAATTACTCGGATATGTTTTGAATTGCTCAAAAGAATTTCATGCTATTTTTCAGAAATAAGAAGCCTTTTTATACAACAATCGGAGAAAACAAGAAAAAAATTGTTTTTTTTTTATAAAACAATAAAAAATTATGAAAAATTTTATTTACACACTATACAAACTCTCAATACACACCAAAAATAGTGTTTGGGTATAAACTTTCAAACAAATGTCAAATGTTAGGATTTAAAGTTTTGAATAAAAATAAATTATTTAAATATACATTGGCCTCGTTTGGTAGAGCTGTGAGAAAGTGATTATAGATTATAACTTAACATATTATAACTTACAGCAGTAAACATAAGCTGGTAACCTGTTTGGTGTAGCTGTGGGATTATGGATTTCAACAGCAGAGTAGTGTTTGGTAAATAAGCTGTAAAATAACTTTTTTCTGTATAATTGTCATTTTTGCCCTTGTAAGATATAAAATTTGTGATTTCATTTATAATTCATTTTTTTTTTCTTTTTCATTTTATTTTCTTTTCTTTTCTACCTTATTTTCTTTTTTAATTTATTAATTCATTAAAATTAATATTCATGTTCTAATTTATATTAATGTTGTGATTTCATTACATATTATCTTTCATATATTCATTATCAAAATTATTAATTTTTTTCTTCTCTTCTTTCTCCGTATTTCTTTTCTTTATTATTATTATTAGTAAATATTAATTGAAATAAATTGTGTAAAATATTAAATCTGAAAAGTAATTTTTTTAATTATGAAAAGTAAATATTAATTGAAATAAATTGTGTTAAATATTAATTATTATTATTATTATTTTTCATATTATTATTATTCTTTATTATTATTCATTTTAATTATTTTTAGTAATATTTCATTTTTAGTAAATATTAATTCTGAAAAGTAATTTTTTTAATTATGAAAAGTTAATATTAATTGAAATAAATTGTGTTAAATATTAAAATTAGTATCAATTTGTCCATCAATTATTATTATTATTATTTTTCATATTATTATTATTCTTATTATTATTCATTTTAATTATTTTTAGTAAATATTAATTCTAAAAAGTAATTTTTTTTAATTAAGAAAAGTAAATATTAATTGAAATAAATTGTGTGAAATATTAATTCTGAAAAGTAATTTTTTCCTTTTTAATTAATATTAATATTGATTTTTTTCCTTTTTTTCAATTTTTTTCAATTTATTTTCTAGGGGTTGAAAACCCTAGCTCCGGTAGCACAGGGGCGATGACCGGCACTAGGGTTTGAGATCGCGAAGGTTCAGATCGACGACGATGTTGGATGTAGTGCAATCGTGATAGCGACGAACCCGAGACGGCGACGAGCTTCGCGATAGCGATGGCGATGGCGACGGCGTTGGTTCAGAGAGAGAAAGACAGACAGAGCTTCACGATCACGATCTTGATGGCGACGAACCCGAGATTGATCGGCGCCATGGATGCAGCACAGAGAGAGAGAGAGAGAGAGAGAAGAGAGAGATCTATTTCATCGCCGGAGCGAGGGACACGTCGCCGAAAATCGCCAAAGCTTCATCAAAGAGACAAAAATGAGAGATTTTTTGATTTATATACATGGTACACTTGTAATTATTTGAAATTGTGAGGGGCATTTAAGTCATTTTGCCCCTCA